ATATATATATGTGTGTGTGTGTGTGTGCGTGTGTGTGTGTGCGCGCGCGCTCGCATGCGTGCATGGTGTGTGCGCGCGCATGCGTGCGTGGTGTGTGCGTGCACGCGTGCGTGCGTGTAATATGTATCTGTGTGAATGTATTGTAGATGCGTTATGTTTGGCGTACTATGCTGACGCACGTACATTTGCGACATTAGTATGTGACAGCTCTGTCTGGCAGCCAGCAAGAAAAATTAACAATTGATCAAGGGAAATTCACAAAACCACAGGAAGTCGCAACTGTAAATGATTAAGCTAGAATCCTTAAACCACCTCATTTGCTTTGATTCTACTGTCAACCGCAACTAAGTATTTGATCAACAGAGTGAACAAAGTTCCCACCACCACGAGCATGCTGGTGTAGAAAGGTCGGTGTTTACAGAATCTCAACATAAAATCCTATCAAGAAAGCTGACCAAGCAAGTGTTCTGAGTGTTCTGCCGTAAGTTGGTTAAGACATGGACCGCGTACTCATACAAGAGTCAGCTTTCATAATAGGTCCTTGGAAAGATTATGAGAGGACGATAGTAACTGAAAGAACAGGAGCTCCCACGATATTAACATTCAGCTCATACACCGTATACTCAAGATGGCTAGGACGACTCCAGGTCCAGTGCATGTAAGATGGAAGGATACTCAAAGAAGATTCCCCCTTTAGGACTAGAGAATGGAAGGAAGAAGAACGGTCCGACCTGTTTTAAGATGCAAAGATGCCCGCAAGAGGGACATGGCCTCCGTGGTGACCGTCACAAGAACATGGGAAGAGACGGACGAGAAAACACCACAACAAAGAGGGGAGCCGAGACGAATCCGAAGGTGAAGGAGAAAGGCGTAGCAATAAAGGCTTTTATAGTATAGCAGGATGAACCTCGAAGATAATGGGGCAAAAACGCAGAGCATGAATTGTTTCTACGACGGATATTCTCCAAGCCCTCGTTGGCCTCGCGTAGGCTATCATTACTGTAAAAGATACGTTGAGCAATACTGCACCAACAGTCATTTGTTATGACGAAACAGATCCTACTATGAGAAATGTTTAATTTCTTTCGGGTTGTTTTTTTTTCTTCGTTTGTTTGCTTCGTTTTGGTTTTTGTTTGTTTGTTTGCTTCGTGCTTTTTCTTTCTTTTTTTTTCTTTCTTTCTTTCTTTCTTTCTTTCTTTCTTTCTTTCTTTCTTTCTTTCTTTCCCCTCTGATGAAGACAGGGGTATCAGTTCTTTAAGTCACTGACTCGAGACACCCGCTGTCAAGTCACCTACCCGATTCCTAAGGGCAGGAATTTGTCCCTGGCGCCACTGGTGCGTGGCAGCCAATCGACAGTCTCAATATTTGTTTACCGGTCTCACTTAGAACCACTGATTCTCGACCCCGCGGACTTGTAGCGGGGTGTCGGAAGGGAAGCTAGCATTCGATCTTTCCCTGGGGTATGTGTGTGTGTGTG